AAATTCATTTATTATGATTTAAATATTTATGAAAGATGACTAGACTTTATTAGTTATGATTAAAACTTTATACTATAAAATAATTAAAATTTGTATAAAATCATATATTTGTTAAAAGAAATAGATAATTAAGATTGATTTTATATTGGTTGTATAAATATAAAAGGTTATATACAAGATATATAATTGTAGAGTTTGTGTTGATCCAAACTTTTCCACGTAGAAATGCAAGAGAAGGTACGATTCCAAGGCTAACGCGGGTTGTAGCAAAAGTCAAAAGAACAGAGCCCTTTTATTCTCACGCAACCCGCCTATAAACAACCCCCTCTCTCAACTTTCTGCTTTCTACGCTCCACCCTCCCATCTCCCGCGACTTTCATTTCTTCTACCTTCCGACCATGAACTCCGATGGCCACCCACTTACCTTCTTTCTCTTATTCTTCTCACTCCTGCTGTCTGTGGGAGCTCAATCCTCACCACCCCCAGACTATCCCTATGCTAAATTTAGCCCTTCAATGGCCATCATAATCGTCGTTCTTGTTGCTGCTCTGTTCTTCATGGGTTTTTTCTCGATTTACATCCGCCGCTGCTCAAACGACGGTGGAAGTGTTCGTGCAGCTCTTTCTATGCGCCGTGCAGGCAGAACAGCTGCGGCCACCCGCGGCCTTGACTCCGAGGTGCTCGAGACGTTTCCGACCTTCGCTTACTCCACCGTCAAAGGACTGAAGATCGGAAAAGGAGCTCTGGAATGCGCCGTTTGTCTCAACGAATTTGAAGACGAAGAGACCATCCGATTAATCCCCAAATGCGATCATGTCTTTCATGCCGAGTGTATCGATGCTTGGCTTGAGAATCACGTTACCTGTCCTGTGTGCCGATCGGATCTCGTTCCCAAACCCGACGAGTCAACTCGACTCGCTAGCGAGTTTGAATTAGGAACTGATGAGCACAGCCACACGACGACGACGGTGGCGGAGGAAGGAAATACAGACGTCGCTATTCGGATCGGCGACGATGTTCTCGACCCGGCTCAACCAGCGGTTCTCAACCGTAACCAGAGTACCAAATCGAACCGGCCACCGCGATCAAGGTCTGTACGTGGACCGAAACTGTTTGAAAAGTTCAGATCACATTCCACCGGACATTCACTGGTGCAGCCCGGTGAGAACACCGACCGGTTCACGCTAAGATTGCCGGAGGAGGTAAGGAAGCAAATGATAAGCAACGCCTTACTGAACCGGTCGGGAAGCACCGTGAGGATGGCCGCCGGAGAAGGGAGTACAAGGAAGGGATACAGAACCGGTGAGGGTAGTAGCCGTGGAAGAGCTTATCGACGAATGGGTAGTTTAGACCGGGTGGCGGTGAGGTCGGAACGGTGGGTTTTCGCAAGAGCGCCGTCGTTCTTATCACGAGCATTCTCCGTTAGGTCTCCAAAGGTTGTGGCAGATAACGGTGGCGCGTCGACGTCGTCAACGACGGCAGACAATATTCCCCTGAATAACATCGGGCCAAAGAGTGACGAGCCCGGTCCGAAAAGTGCTGACTCGTCTCGGCCGCCGGTTTAGAATCTTGTTTGCCGGTTTGTTTTCATCGATGAAGCCGATTGGTCAAGTGGGGTTTTCTGAATTAAAAATTTAGGTCGGAGTTGCCAAAGTTGACCTTGCGGTACTCGTGGTTAATAATTTTTAATTGAAATATTAATTTAAAATTTTTGTAAATTTAAAACGTATTTTTCCTCGAAAATTTTGAATTAATTTTGTGAATATTTGTTTGCATAATGTAACGTGTTCTTTTATTTGGGTTAAATGAGAATTATTCTTATTTCATAAAATTATTATTTGATTTTTTTTAATCAAATATATATACGGTGATGATTTTTAAATCAAATGATTGTAAATAAAATGTGTTATTGTATTTTTATGTATAAAATACTGTTTATTCATGCATATTACTTAAAATTTAAGACTACAGATGATATTGAATAAGTATAACTTATTAGAACTTTATTTTTAAATTTGTGTAATTAACCGTAGATAACAATAATCAAATACAAGATAAATATTTTATTTTAAATATAAAAAATTTAAAATATAATTAAAATAATAATTATGTTCTAACAGAATGTTTAATTATTATTTTTATAAAAAATTATATTATTAAATTAAAAAGGAATTACTTTGTTATTAAATCTAAATTAAATTATAATAAAAAATTGAATTAAAGAGTTATAACAAAAAAACGAAAATTATTAAATAGTTAATTTGATACTGTTATCAATTTTTTTTTTAAATTTTTATGTTATCTTCAAATTCATATTTTAATTCAAAAATAAAAACATGATACATAAAATCGTATTATATCGATAGAGACAAAGAATAAAAGCTAAATATTAAAATCGAGATTTATCTCGCTACATTGCACGAGTATCCTTCTGGTTTTTCATATCGAATTGAGATCGTCTATCAAATTAAAGAAAATAATCATTTTTTTATTATGATAAATTCTTCAAAGTATGAAAAATAAGATCTAACAACTTCTAAATTTTATTGTAAAAAGAGAGAAATTATTATTTTAATTGTTCCCGTCAATAAAGTAGAGTATTTATTATTTTATATATAATTCACTTAAAAGTTTATGGAAATATTAAATGTATTAAATATTTTAATAATATAATTAATGCTAAAATATGAGAAAATGAATTTTTTTAATACAATCTTTATATTATTTTATAAAATAGAGAAAACAAAATGGAGCTCTAAATTCATTTAATTCTCTAAAATTTGATGTTGAGAGAGTGAAATGATTCTTTTTTTTCCAATTAGATCCAATTATTATTATTTTATATAATTTTTTAATAAATGCATTGGAAAATTAAAATTACAAAAATATTATAATAATATAATTGATGGTAAAATCTCTGAAATAAAAAAAAAAACTATTAGAATTGATTGTAATTCTTTTTAAATTTTAAATTTTATCCTCTATTTAGAAAAATATATTTATATTATATTATAAATCATTTGATAAAAACTTTTAAAAATAATTATATATGAAGTACTGTATATTGATGCATATTAATTAAAATTCAAGATTACAAATAAATTATGCATAAGTACAACTTATTAAAGTTTCATATTTGAATTCGCGTAACTAACTGCGGATAAAAATAACCAATTAGAGGATAAACATCTCATTTTAAAATATAAAAATATAAAATATAATTACGATAATTATCGAGTTCAAACAAAATAACTAATTATTATCTTTATGAGAAAATTATATTATTAAACCAAATATAAATTATTTCATTATTGAACCTAAATTAAATTATAATAAAAAAAGAATTAAAAAATTACAAAAAAAATAGGAATTTTAAATAGTTAATTTGATACTAATATCGATATATTTTTGTCAAATTTTTATGATATCTTCAAATTTATATTTTATTTAAAAATAAAAACAATATCGTTTTTTCAAAATCACATAAGATCATACTATAACATCGGCTGAGATAAATAATAAAATGAAATATTAATATCAAGATGTATATCGCTGCATTGCGTGAGTACCCGTCTAGTAAAAAAAAATGTTGAAAAATCTCTTATAAACTAGTTTATGTCTTATCAGAATCTTTTTACCAAACGCTTACTCGGGTAAGTGCTTACCAAATAACATTACCTCACCGGATGAATATGGTAAGGACCAAGAATCTTACCCGGTAAGAGCGAGACAATGACCAAAAGTCTTACGCGGTAAGTGAGGATGACGACTCTTACCACAGTAAGCGCTTACCGGGTAAATTGTTGCATACGATGTCGTTTTGATGGACTAAAATCTTACCCGGTAAGTAAATAATAGTGTTAAATTTTACCGGTAAACACTTATCAGATAAGTATTTGATAAACAGCCCCTTAAGATAAATTAAAATAGTCGTATAATATGTAAGTTTACTTTTTATTTAATGTGTTTTTTTTTATGTAAACTAAGAACATACTACTTTTCATTCATTGGAACCGGTTTTCTTTCATTTCAATTGTTGGGTTTTATTATAATTAATGATTAAATCAACTCTAATGGTCGTCTTAGCAAAAATAGATGAACATTTGATCATAAAATAAACGAAAATTAAAATATTAAAAATATACAGTCTAAAATAAAACTAATTTAAAATACGTTGGTATAGACAGTGTCTTTCATAAACTAGTCATTATGATGAAAAAGTCATTTATAATGACCATTATATTATTATATCTAACAAGATAAATAGACTGGCATATTATATGTTTTGTCAAATACGTCAATAAATTTGATCGGCATACTATATTTATCTTCAAAGATGTTGGTAAACTTAACTGAATGCTTTATTCTTGATTGGTTTAGTCTTCGGGTTGGTTGAGGGTATCTAGAGTTAACCAAATGTATTCAGTATATCTTCTCGGTGAGAGTACCTAGAGTGATTGTGGCGATTGGTTCATAAGTCGGCTCTAAACTCTTTCATTTTGACTTAAAACGTGAAGTTAGTTTATTACTGATCATGTCTGAATGAGTGGACAAACCAAGCAACTACAGTAATTGTTGGATAATCTCGTAACTTCGTACATTGAATCACAGAGAGTCGTTCGAGTTGATAATTCCAACCCGGTCTTGCTAAGGCATGCATCGTTGTCTCTGGATAAGAAGGATCATGTTTGATATCATGCATGGTTTCTAACCTAAGAATCCTACAGTTCAATGTTCAACGTTTGATTTAGGCATGTCTTAGAGCCTATCAAATCTAAAGTCTTGAAAAGGCTATAAAACTTTTAAACAAGCCAATATGATTGTTGATCCAAACTCTCTCAGTGATTTGATGTTGACCATTTTTTAGTTAGTGAAAATTTACTTAGGTTTACCTCTACACAGTTTCAGCGATCCTCATCAAATGTGAAATCAGAGTAATGATGATTAAGTCATTTGGCACATGATAAGTTTGAATCAGACACAGATGTTAGTTGAGGATGTGACTTGGGATGCTGTCTGAGTTCCAGAAACAAGTAGAGATATATTAGAATAATGCATTTCGTACTAAGATCATTACAATGAACAACAATTGATCCAAATACTTGAAAGCATTTACAAAGTTGTACATGTTTGGAGAAGTCTCAAACAGTGGTAGGCGTGGATTACACAATTAAAGTAGAGCAGATATATTATGATATTGTATAACAAGTTGGTATAATACAACATGAACGAGCAGTTTCCTGAGGACCTGATCAAACCTGCCCCTAATGCCACTAAGAAGTACAAATCAAACCATACATGTTTGAAAGCTAACTTACACGTTCAGAAGTGTTGAAAATACATATTTTACTAGCATTTCATGGTGATCTTTCAAATACGAACCTTTGAATCTTTGATTTCAAAAACATAGTTAGAAATGTCTTAGAATAATTTATCATAAACTATTAATAGTCTTACTAGTATGATCTAGCCAAACCTAGGTGTCATTTCATCTTCTACTTGTGGTTCCCCCATTTCGTATTAACACCAACGATTGATAGGAATCGAGTTGTCTTCTTCTCATGCCTAGCATCGTCTGGCTTCCGTAGAGGGGAAGAGAGGACAAAAAGACTTATGTCATAGCACTTAATCATGATAGTTTTTTAAGTCATAAAGTCACAACCTTATACCTAATGCATATAATACAAGATTAAAACTATTCTTCTAACATGCAAACACACACACACACACACACACACACACACACACACACATATATATATATAGAGAGAGAGAGAGAGAGAGGGACGATCAAATGTAAACCATCTAGTTTGTACAAACCGTGCAAACCATCCTCATCCGTCGATTTCATTGTTTAATCTTATGAATTTTTTCATGAAATTGTTTCATATAATACATTTTTTGATGAAGTTGTTTCATATATGGTTATGGAATAGTTTCATATAATACTTAATGAAATTTTAATGAAACTGTTTCATGTATTTTCTCTAAAATTAAAATAATGAAGATGATAATATCCATGATTAACACTCTCTACAATAAAAATGATTAATCAACTTCTCATAATTACAAAAAAAAAATGAACAAAATGAAAAATTATGATTGGTTGAATGAGGTTTGTATGGTTTGTACAAACCACATGGTTTGTAAAGTAAACCTCCTCTATATATATAGGAAAGGGTAAAAACGAGAACCCCTATGATTTACGACAACGCGATAACAACCTATAAACCAAACATTGTGTTTTAAATCACATTTTAACAGAAGTTAAGGGATTTTTTTCAACTTCAAATTAATATTTAAAAATCTTGCAAAAATATTAAACACGTGGAAGGATAAAATTGAAAATTGGTATACTGAAATTTTGATTATCGGTGAGTGATAAACATCATTTTGATAATTTAATTCCTATCACATACTTATCACAGTCGAGGACAAGACTAGATGATTGAATCCCTATCACATATTAATCACAGCCGAGGGCAAGGACTTGATGATTAATGTCTATCATATATTAATCACAGTCAAGGGCAAGGGCTAGATGATTGAATGTCTATCACATACTTATCACAGTTGAGGGCAAGTGCTCGAAAGATCGAGACATGAAATAAGACGTGATCAGATTCCAATATAAAATCATGGGTGTCATTCCCTGATTTTTTTTTTCTTTTTCGAGTGCCGTAACGTTATTCTTAATACCTTATGCCATAAACAAAATGTGAGCTTAAAATTTTCAAAATTACATAATGTGTTTAACATAATTCATTACATAGTTGATGAAGTGTAAAATACTTTAACATAATCAATGCTAATTAAAATATCTAATCAAAT